TCTGTATAAAGACACCTTATTTAATATATATTGTTAACTCATTAACATTGAACCGGTGGTCAACAGCACTATGACTTCTGTCTGAACAAAGCTTATCGCACACCTGTATTTACTCCAGAAGGCATATCACAGCCTTCTTGCCATTAGGAACACTAGATAACTCTTCAGAACTAGGCTTGAGGGTCATTTTAAACAGCAAAATCACCCACAAAAATGCAAAAAAAATTGTGGCACTAAATAGACGAGGAAAAAGGTCACATGTTTACAGTATGAAAGCTGAAACAAAAAGGCAAGCATCATCTTCTTTGACCTCAGCTGGGAACGTGGGCTCTGGGTGACTCAAACCCTTCACTACTCTGTGCATGTCTGCAGATGACCACGAAAGTGCCGTGAGTATTGATTTGGGGATTATAAACAAATTTTAGCAAGTTGGCAAATTCGCAGGTACAGAGTCCATGAATAATGAGGATTGACTATAAACACTACACACCAGTGCCTACTGTAAGTTGACAAAATCCAATTTTTGCCTCCGTTATTTTTTAGAGACATGAGAGGTTAAATGTGTAATGTATTCATGTATGAGTCACTCACTCTCAGATTCGGTAAGTTATTTAGGGAATGGCATTGCATTTAAAATAGTTCTGAAATCAGGAGCTATTCTTCAATGTTAACAAAGATTTGAGACTCCCCCAAAAATTATGGGTTCCCAAAGTTTACTCAGTATCTCACTTTTCGTCTTTGTCTCAGCCATTCTCTAAATAATAAAATAGGTATGTAACCCATGACAGTTCTCTGCCTATCCACCCACAGCCATTGGATACCAGCTTGAAAGTATCCAATCTTTGGGGTGTAGAACATACTCCATATAAAGGTGAGGTAGGTCTGGATGGAATCTGGATGATTCCTGTCTCAGTCCCCTTTTCTGCCCCAGGGTCTAACTTCATCTTGCATGGTTTACTGTATAGGAGCTGGCAAGCTCTGTTCTCCAGTGTTATCCCTCCATGATGCATAGTGAAGCCATCAAGTCCTGTTTTATGCCAGATCTATTGTTTGGGGTAGTGTAAGAACAATGCAAATGAAGCTTTCTTCTTGCTCATGCTGTGTGACTACAATTGATTCATACTATGCTTAGGTGTGCAGAGAAAACAGAGCCTTTCCTTTCTCTATGACAGACCTAGTCTTCCTTAAAAGTCTCCACTCCACTGGAAGGGAAAAGCCCAGCTCATCAATTAATGATATCCCAGTCTCCTCAGTGAAAATAATTTTCTTTTGGTTTACAACAATCCCTCTCTTCAGAAAATGGTCATTTGTTCTGAGTTTTGTCCCTTCCCTCTCACCTCCTGAGATGGCTTCCAGGTGTGTGCCCTCAAAGGGCAGGGCAGGGGATGTTGGATCTACAACAAACAGGTCCTAATGCTGCTTTTTGGTCCTCACTGGCCCTTTGGTGATGTGTCCCTTGCTTACCCTGCTGGGATCTGCCACAGAAGTCTTCATTTGGGGAAAGAGTGAGCTAGTCTCTTTTGGCTTGGTCATGGCCTGTCCTAGGGATTTTCCCAGCTGACCTGTCTGTCCTATGTAACTAAGACCTCGTGCCAGAGCTGACTGTCCCAGGGATAGACAGCTGACTCAAGTGGAGCCAATCAGAAAAATTCTTGGGATTTTTCAAACTAGAACTAAGTTAAGCAACCTAGTTCCTCTCCAGAGGTGATGGAGGCAAAACTATGAGATGGGAGGTTCAGGACCTGCTACTATGCTTGTTACCCCATAGGAGCAGAAACAGACCTGTAAGAAGAGGCGGAGATAGTGTGAAGGCTGCAGAAACATTCAGATCTCTGGTCTAAGCTGCACCTGAGCTCCTGCAGCTCCTCTTTTCTTCCTAGTGTTCTGTGAGATAGCCACACATCCTTCCAGTAAATTCCCACTTTGAGTCCAATCTAATTTGAGTTTAGTTTCTGACACCTGCAACTGAAAAAAAAAATGAACAGTATGTTTTTAAATGTTTTAATGATCATCCCAGCACTTGCATATTTATGATAATTCCAAACAATCTTCATTTACACCACTCCCTATAAGTATACTATGTTTATGATTGAGAACTGTTGTTGGCAAACATGAGATAATCAAGGTTTTAAAAAATTCTGTTACTGTGAAATGTCACACTGATACAAAAAAAGTACACAAAACAAAAATGTACGTCACAAGGAATTATCATGAAGTTAACACCTGTGCCACCATCACACAGATAAGAAATAGAACATTGCCAAAACTCCCCAAGCCCATCTCATGCCCCCTCCCGGTAGTTACCATTCCCTCCCTCCCTGACGTAATCATGATCTTGATTTTTATGGTAATCACTTCCTTACTTTTCTTTCTAGCTTTCACCCAAGCATGCCTTATTAAATCTTTGAGTTCTGCCGTTTTCTGAACACTACATAAATGAAGACATACTATATATATATGATCTAGCTTCTTTTGCTCTGGATTATTTTTTTGAGATCTATCTCAAACTACTGTAGCTATAGTCTTTTTCATTGCTGTTTAGTATTTCGAAGTATGAATGTACAATCATTTACCTATCCATTCTGTTGACAGACATTTGGAGTCTTTTTGTTTTGGGTTTTTGGGCTATTATGGATAATACTGTTGTGAATATTCTTGGTGAATACATGCATGCATTTTTACTGGTATATATAAGAGTAGAATGGCTAGATCATGAGTATTTACCTTTTCAAGTGAGTAGGTAACACCAATTTTTTTTTTCTAAATCACTGTTTCACTTTACATTCCCACCAGCATTTTGTGTGAGTTTCTCTTGTTCCATATCCTAACACTGGTCAGTCTTTTTAATTTTAGCCATTTGTGTGGGTATGCAGTGGTATCTTACTGTGGTTTTAATTTCACTTCCTACTGATTACAAATGGAACTGAACACTCTTTTGCATGTTTATTGGTCTTTGTCTGTCTTCCTTTGTTAAGTGCCTGTTGAAATCTCTTGGCTATTTTTTATTTGGTTGCCTTTTTTCCTTATTGATTTTTAAGAGTTCTTTATATATTTGGATAAGGGACCTCTGTCTGTGGATATATATGTTGCAAATTTCTTCTTCCATTCTGTGGCTTGCCTTTTCACTATCTTAATGGTGTCTTTTGAGGAAGAGATTCTTAATTTTATCAACTGGGATTTTATAACAATGCATCGGACAGAACTGGATTAGGCGGTGGAAAATACATTTTTAAATTCAGTAAAATGAACTTACACAGGCTCTCTAGCTAAAGTTGCACATTCTTCCTTTGGAATGTTATTTCCGGAATGGCAATTTTTTTTTAATAATTGAAAATTCCATTATTTTACAAACCATAGAAATACACTTACAGTATTTATTTCTGCCACTTGGTGGTGCCATAGAAAACTAATAATAATTTTAAAAATTTATTGTTCTGAAAATTTGCAGGACAGTAGGACTTGGCTATTAGCAAATTGAAAAATATAAACAACATTTTCAAAAGTATGTAATCCTCTTACACACTACAACAGCTGAAAATGCATATAGCCTCAGCATTTCACTATAAAAGTCCTGGCTTACTAATAACCAAACAAGAAACGAAGATAGTACTAATAGTTTTTTTAATTATTGAAAATTTCAAGCATTCTACAAGTGCCAGTATAACATCTTTGTTCCTAATACCTAGATAATAAATATTAACATCCTGTTATATCTACTTTAAAAAAATTAAAGAAATAAGAATAAAGTTTATGCTCCTTTGCTCTCTCCAGTTCCATTCATCTTTCCCTTTTACTCACTAGAGGCAACTACTACCCAGAATTTGATGTGTACTGTTTCAGTTCCTGTTTCTGTATTTTTAGTACACGTGTCCATGAACGATACAAATACTACTTCGCATTTTTAAAATGCATCTTTCTATGCTATAGTACACTGCAATATGCTTTTTACATTTAACGTGTTGTTTTGCCTTGTTGATATACACAGATAATATGAGATATATACAGATCTAGGTCCTTCATTTTAACTGCCACATTGTAATTTCTGGTAAACATATAACCTATATTTATTAATATTTATCCATGCCTCTACGAAAGAACATTTAATGCTGCACTGAATGCAATTCCTGGAGCAGTTATCTAAAAAAACATTTAAATGAATGAGTAGAGGCAGCCTTTTAATTCAAGCAAAACCGGCACAAAATATCTCAAGCAGACTAATTTTTGCTTCAATTCTCTAGGTTTTTGTTTTTTCTGGTAACGTCCACTCCATCTGCATGCATGGCAGAAATCATTACCTGAAATTTCCTAACGGTCTTTAACTCAATCCACTGGAAAAGGCTCTGACGTGGTGCGCTTAGGGATTAGGGATGGGCGGATGAAATGGGTAGAGAATGGACAATGGACACAAAGAAATCTCAATGTCAAAATACAAAAGACAATGACGGTTTGTGTGGTTAGGAGCAGGGGAGAGTGGCAGCAACAGCGTTATAGAGTGTTTACAATGTAGGGCATGTCCTGTGCTACCACATCAGGATAAGGAGATGGCAGAATACAAAGGTCTTTCTCTTCATGCTCTTTGTGAAAGATGTAACCACTAAACGCCAGACGGTTGCCATGGGAACTCCGTACCGGGGGTGGGGGGATGGCTAGAATTCTTGATGCGCTTAGAATGTTTCTTCTTCCTGTCCTCTGCTCTTCGCAACCACCATCCGTCTCCTTGGTCCCCCGCCCATTCTGCACGCTCTCAGTATTCTCTTCTCCTCTTCATTCCCTCCTTCTCTGTTCCAGGTCGCCATCTTGGACCATGCCTCAAGATGGCGCCCCCTGGACCCAGAAGCAGAGCCCTGACACGCCAGTGAGATTGCGCGCGCGTACTCAGGCGCGGGAGGGTGGGGCGGTGACGCCAGACGTCGCCCCGCCCCCGGTGTTCGCTCCGCCCCCGGTCCCACTCCGCCTTCCTCCCACCCCGCGAACCCGGAAGTGGAGGAGGAGTCGCGGCGGCCGTGGCCCAGCAAGCAGACACTGGCTGAGCCGTACCCCGGAGCGTGTGTGGGGTTGGGGGCGGGGGACGGGGGGCGGGCTGAACGGCCTGGGCAGCCTGGCCTGGACGGGGCGGGGGAGGCCATGGCCTCGGCAGAGTTGCAGGGGAAGTACCAGAAGCTGGCTCAGGAATACTCGAAGGTACCCATCGTGGCGGGGAGCACAGGGGGTCCCCGGTCCTGCGGCCTCGGGTTGCCTTGGCAGCTACTTGTCGGGACGGAGGGGGACTGCGGAGGGGCACTGGAGCGCGCCCCTCCTCTCCCCTCCGCCTCCTCTGTCCACCATTACCGTGCCTCCACCTGCAGATCCCAGGAGATGGGGCCGGGCGGTGTCTGGGTCCGTGTGCATTTCTGCAGGAAGAAGCTGGAGTTTAATTCTCCCTTGTCACTGAAGTAGCGGGCTTGGGGCTCTAATGTCAGAAATCCTGGCTTCTTGCCTCGTGCTGGCCGGGAGGGGAAGGGAAAGGTGTGGACCATCCCTCACCTCGCTGCTTCCTCAATTTTCTCAGCCCAGTGATGGGGAAAGTCAACCTTTTTTCCCTGCCCCCCAGGAATGATATGAGGTTAAAGAGACTTATCTGCCCCTGAATCAATTCGAGAGGGTAAATAGAGTCATTCGTGTAAACTGCTTCCCTGGGGATGGGTGGTTACGAATGTATTCAGTGCTTTGGCAAGATGTCTGGAATGATTTTGAAAGCTTGAGTGTTAGGGCTGTGTCCTTTTCTCTCTCTTGTCCCTCGGTCATCTGGAATGGGGTGGAACACCCAGCAGGTGCTCAGTGCATATTAAACAAAATAGGAACTGCCCCTTTGTCGTGTTATGTCATCAGTCTTTTAAATGATGGAACCCTTTCCTTGGAAAAGGATGGTACAATTTCTGGGTAGGGTGTTTCTGCCTTAAGAGTGAAGTTATTAAAGCAGAATATTTTATCTTCAGAAATTGATTCAACAGTTATTAAGCTTAGTTTTTAATGATCTTGGCATTCATGGAGTCAACGGGAATACCTAGCCCCTTTTTACAATTTAGGGAAATTGAGACACACATTTTTCCCCTTATGATTTTATTCAACAAATATTCAGCAAGGCGAAATGAAATATTCTTTGAAAAATAAAACCTGTGCCTAAACATACACATTTAAGTCTTCACCACCAAATGGGAGGGAGCCTTTTGAGATACTACACTTATTCCAATGGTGCCACCATTGGGGACGTTTTTGCATTTCCATTTGAAATTGTCTTAAGAGCCTTTGGCACAATGTCAGTGATGGCAAGTTTTCATCCTTGAGGGAGGATTTCCTTGTTTTAAAGGGCCAGAAGTTTGGAACAAATCCAAGTGATGAAATGGGATGGGTGGGGGATGGCAATGCTTAAATTTGACTCTACTATTTTTGGTTGAAAGCGTTTCATGAGTATAAGGGGACTTATTTTTCTTCTCTGGATAGTAAACAAGCTCAGAAGGCGATTCCAAATCGCAGAAGAGGAGTTTCAAAATGTTTTGAGCAGGGACTGCGTTGTTGAAATAATTATATGGCCTTCCAAAGTAATAAGAACTCCAAGATTTTATTGTTTTGGCTATGCAGGCTTGTTCAACAGACTCTTAATATGTGCCCCCTGTGAGCAGTCTGCCAGGGTCTGTTGAGTGAGGCAGGGTTCCAGCTTAATGAGTCACCTTTAATAGAATATTCAAACACAGTAAATAACTATGATACAATATGATAAATGTTAGTTTAGTGGGAGCACAGAGGAGACATTGGTAAGGGTAGAAGTTACTTAGATTTGGGAGTAGAGCTGAGGGAAGGAGGTAGTAGTAACTTTCCAGGCAAAAGGAACAGCCTATGTTTGCTGACATGCAAGATCATAAAGATAAATGGCAGCAAATGGTGACATGAGGTTGGAGAGGTAACTTGGACCTGATCATGGAAGGTCGTGGATGTCAAATAAGGAGTGTGAACTTTACCTTTTGAGTGATGGAGAGACATCAAAGGTTAAGCTGGGGCGTGACATCAGTTTTAGGAAGAAAACTGGTAATCATGTGGAGGATGGATTGAAATAGGGAAAGACTGGAGAAAAGAAGGCCAGACAGTAGGCTGTTGGAATAGTTTTGGGGAGAGTAATGTAGGATTAAATACAGTTGGTGACTTTGGGGATGGAGAAGTGGGGCTAGATTCAGGAATTATGGTTAAACTTTTTAGCTTACCTCTTTTTTCAGTGCCTGCTATGTGCACAGCACTAAACTTATAAAAGCTATGGAGTATATAAGGCACTCATCCCTATGTCTCATTCATTTTTTGGGACTTGGTGGGTGAGGGAAGACTCAGAATTGGCCCTGAAGTTCTGAGGTGAGGGAACATGATTGCTGCTGATACCATGAGGGCCTGCAGGAAGGGAGTATATTAAAGGTTAGATGCAGTCATGGAATTTTAGGGTTGAAAAGCACATTAAAGTTATGTTATTCATACTAGCTTGAGGTGATGGGGATCATTGCTGAAACTTTCTAATGGAAATGGACTGGCTAAAAGTCAGGACAAAGGCTAGTGCTTTTGGAATAATTCCCATCACGATGAACTTGAAGAGTTAATCAGGGTAGAAACTGTGGGGAACACCTGTGGGAAGAAGGTGCAGGGAGGAGGAGAAGATGCTAAAGAGACTGTAGGAGGTCTGCCAGAATTGGGATCATCTTCCCTATTGGACCAGACCATATTTTATTCTTTTAATTGCAATGTGATGGAAATTTCAGAACGCAAGAGAACAGAGACTGGTCAAAGATTTCATGTGCTTTTTAGTCCCTGTCAATTCTGATACTAGGCAATTTCGAGATCTATGCTCTCTTCGGCTTTGTGCTATGGGAGAGAGATTCTGCCTTTTTGTTATTACCTTTCCTGGTACAGAAATTGTGGGCAGATACTGAAATCTAGTTACATTGTTCTTTTTCCTTATTTAGGATACAAAGGAAAAAAGATTTCCTCTTAATGTGTAGAAGGAAGCCTGCATATCAAGAGAGCGGTGATCCTTAAACCAAGAACATTTGCAGAATCTCCTCATTCGTCTTTAATGCAGATCTCAGCCTATGTTCCAGGAAAGGGTCTATTCGTTGCATAAGAACCGTGGTCATAATCTGCTTTCCACTTGAGAAGGAAAAAAGAAAAACAAAAGGTCTGAGGATCTCCCATAAAGCCATAAAATAAGACTGATCCTTCACCTCAGGAAGGAAAAAAGAGGCTGAGAGTCTAGTTAGGTAAAAGATGAACTGTTTAGGCCAAAGCAGATGAGAATTGCTGAGGCAAATAGGTTGCTAAAACAAAGTGTTATGGGAACATCAGTAAAAATGGAGATTAAGACCCTCAGTGGTTTGGACAATTAGGAGGTCATTAGAGGCTTTTACAATTTAAAGTTCAGTAGAGTTTGGGACTAGGGGAAGGTGTGTAGAGGCTGGTTTTTAGAGGTTTATGAAGTTAACAGGTAATAGATGCGAGCTATCTTTTTGAGATGTGAGGGAAAGCTAATCAAGGCTTCAGTTACTACATTATCGATTAAGAATGAAGGAACATTTCTTACTTGCTGTTTATTCCACAACCTGCTCTGTTTTGATGCTCTGGGATAGCTCATTATGGAGAAGGGAAGTGAAAAATACTCAGTTCTGGCTCGTTTGATTTCAGTCTGCTTTCTTTGCAGGAGCACTCTTGCGTGGCACTATTGCATGTGTGTAAGCAAGTTTCAAGTTCTGTCTTCCCAGTGTTTGTGTCACCCTGGGTCAGTGATTCTCAAAGTATGGGCCCTGAGCTAGTTCATCATCAGTGTCATCCGGGAATGGGTTGGAAATGTAAATTCCCAGGTCTACCCCGGACCTACAGAATCTGAAACTGGCAGTGGGACCCAGCAATCTGTGTTATAACAAACCTCTCCAGTGGTTTGAATGCATGGTAACATTTGAGAATCATTGCCCAAGGAATGGTATCCAGGATAGTAGCTTTTGCTGAGATAAAGATAATCTTTTTAAAGCTCTTTTTGAGGCAGTGGGAAAGCCAAACACCCATTATTTCTCTACAGTTTACTTTGTAATTGATGCTTCTTTTAGTTTCAGAGGGGATTGCCTTTGGGAACTTTTTAGACTTACATTCTTAGTACAGAAGTACTCACATTGGGAAAGGGTCAGCTTTGATGGGGTGACTTTGCTCTCCAGGTAATGGGGCTTGGTGGAACCTGATTAATCACCCACTCCTACAAGAGAAATAGACTCAGCTGGACTGGATTAAAATCGAGTATCTGTTTTTTTTTTTTTTTTTTTTTTTTTAATCCTGATGTGTAGGTAGGGCTCACTCCTAAAGCTGGATTGGAAAACAGCTTTGTGTTCAGTGATATCCAATGGAACTTACCATGAGAATGAAAATGTCCTATATCTGTGTGTCCAGCAGGGTAACCACTAGCCATGTGGTGGCTATTGAGCCCTTAAAATGTAGCTAGTGTGACTGAGGAACTGAATTTTAGGTTTATTTAATTTTAAATAATTTAAATTTAAATTGCTACATGTGGCTGTTGTCTACCCTGTTGGACAGTGCTAACTTAGTCCTTAGATCAGTGCATCACGAATGTAGAAGTCATGTGATTCATTTAAAGACCTCGTTAAACTGCAGATTGTGGTTTAGTAGGTCTGGGTGGGGCCTGAGATTCTGCTCCCAGGTGCTACTGTTGCAGCTGTCCAAAAACCACACTTTGAAGAGCAAGGCCCTAGAAAGACAAGGGGTGTCTTACTCTTGCTCTTAGTTCAACTGCCTTACTGACCCACTCACTGAGGGGGCAGCTAAACTGCAAGGGGTGGGAGTGGAGGTTTTGTCCTAGTGATTTTCCCTGAATGGAAAAGATTACATTTGAGGGCAGGTCTGAGAGGAGTTTTTTCCTACTTCAGTGACAAAATAACCTCAGCTACCAGTACATAGTATGTAGCCTATACATGCTTTATCCTCCTCCTGGGATAGGAACAAGTAAGTAGGCAGAGAGAAAGACTAAGTGGTATTCCCGGTACTTAGAAATATTTAAAACATTAGAACTGGAAGGAGTTTTCGGGATCATTCTAGCCAGATACTGAAGGTGGAGTCTACAGATGACAAGTATTTGGAAGCTTTCAATCAGGGTTTTGGTGAGGCTT